ATCAGGATACGTTATGTATATTAGTATAACACATTAGTTCACACAGTGCAGGTCTTAGCTTGCCTACCTTTGCAAGTAGTAGAAGTAATTTTCTATTAACTGATTAAAATTAATGGGAGACATACAGAAAAGGCTGCTGAGAGTTTCAGAGATAACAGCTAAAGACTGATGAGAAAGTCACTTGGTCTACCTACCATCCCAACCATGGTGAGGCCTTGGTTTCTCAAATGTTCCAGGAGGATCAGCAAAGGGAACCCCCAAGAAGATATTCATGGATCGGCCTGATCCCAGACTAATCGATTTTTCCTCAACGTTCCCTCCCTCGGTCTGCACCACACCAAGCTAAAGAGATAAAGCACAATGACATTAAGGGAAAAATTTTAACTATTGAAAACATTAAGCTTTAGTAATTTTCTTTACCACATTGATTAAATTTACCACAAAATATGTAGATTTGCAAAATTTGACTCCACATATTTAGAGCTTCAGGTGCAAATTCAAAAGTCAAGTCATCTTTATTTAGCACATTTAAAGCACATCAAGTGTCTGCCAAAGTGTTGAACAGAGGGATAATATAATCAAAAAGAAAGAATTAAAATAGATATGATGAAAACATTATAGAAACCCCTGAGAGTTGATCAAATAAAACTAAGACAACCATATTTTTCTCTAATATGTTTATTTTTCATGAACTAGCACTGATACTGATACTTTATTTAGATCTACATGCCTGCACATGTCTACAGTGAATAGTACATGCCCCTTATTCAGAGGTGACTGTGGGAAGGCTGGGCAGGATGCTGGTCCAGAAATGCACATAACACAGCCTCATTTCCTGCCTTATGTAATTCTGGTTCATGTCAGAATTGATCTCCAGGAACTTTTCACCACTTCTGGTGAATGTTGGCCAGGTAGCAGGCACGGCTGAATCTCCCTTGTTAGGATCTCTGTTGATCAGAGAAATTGAAAACATCACTGATGTGTTTTTAATTAGTATTACAATAAGTGATTCAGTTGTTTGATTTCTTTGACACAAAAATCTGTGTTTGCAGAATTATACCCAGTTTTGGCAAAGTTGGTCCAGTAGGAGATCAAGTAGTCAGAGACACGGCGATGGCTTGGCCAGTATACAAGTGGTGAGCTGAAGGGCTTTCCAAACATGTACTGCAGGTCGTCAGCGTGGTCAGCTCCCATCCAGCTTGGGTAGGGCAATAAAGGACCGCCCATACGGTTGGGCTCAGAGAAGAGGTAGGAGTAGGTGCGACCAGTTCTTTGATGAGACAAAAAGAACAGGAAAAGTAATGTGATGATAACCCCACCACTGCTAATAAAAATATGTATTTTTATCTCGTAAGTAATTAATTAGATAAACTGTGATATCTGTATTTCAAGGTCACATTCTCACGTGGCATGGTCAGCATGAAGATAAAGGGCAGCCTGTGTAGGAACCAGGAAAATGTAGTCTGTTTCAATATCAACAATGGTTTTCTTGATGGTATCCCAGGTGGGAAAACTTCCCCAATTTGAGGTATACGTGGAGTAGGCATTGTTCAGGCCAGACTCACCCTTCTCCTTTGTTAAGGCAGCCAAAAGCCTCCTCACATCGTTACTGCAATCAGAAAGAGAGTATTTTCCACTGAGAACTGAAAAAATTCCTTACTGCCACCAAATCATTGTTTACCATTTTGCGATGTGTAAGTTGTTTGAAATTGTTTCATGATGCAATTCCAAATCACTCCAAAGCGGATCAAAGCACTCAAACTCACGTAGGGGTGACAACCAGATCAAGGTTGACTGATGGAACATCAAAATTGGTGAACATATGCCCGTCCATGTTGTTGACTCCAGCAATGTAATCAATTTCAGCTGCATTGTGGAACAAGTTGGAAGGATCGTCTTGCAAGAAGTCACCATCGATCACAGGGGCTATCTCCAGGTTCAACACAAGGGGCTCTAAGATATGCACACATCAGAAATCATTATATATATGCCAGAAATTGTGCAATAATTAGTATGAATATAATTTGGTGGGTAATTTAAGCAGAACTGTTTTCATCACGTCTAAATTAGGTTTGGTGGAACGTAGTCCTTATGATCAGGTGAACTGAGCAAATTCACAGTTCCTGCCTTTGTTAGGGTCCCAGGATCAGTCATCTTCAGACAGGAAGCCATTCTGTTATCAGTTGGGCAGTTGACCTTCCGAGCAACCTGCAGAGTGGGTGCAAATTATCTGTAATTACCCCCATGTTCTATGCATATGTTTGTATTATTATTTCCTTATTTGATCAAAAAAAAAAAAGTGGTTATATGTAAAGAAGCTGCTATGTATCCTCAGCAAACCTACGAGGGTTTCTGTTGAGTGCCCAGGGGCAAAGTGCCACCCCACTCTGGGAGATGGCTCTCCTGATGATCCCTTTATTGTGGGGAGTGAGAGTCTGTGGGTGGAATGTCAGGAGAAATACATATTTCACTATCTGCTTTGAAATGAGTTCCACCTATGGATAGATGGTCAGAGAAAGAGCAAATACTCTCACCTGGAAGCTAACACTAACTCCACCTGCAGATTCTCCAAAGACGGTGATGTTGTCAGGGTCGCCTCCAAATGAGCGGATGTTTCTGTGCACCCAGGCGATGGCGGCCTGCTGATCCCACAAACCGTAGTTTCCTGAGGATTAAATATAATCAAGTTTGTGGAAAGAATCACTATTTAAATGGAAGTATTTCTGTATTGGCAGTCCAGCATGTACCAGGCTCTATAAGATGTGTGTACCTACCAGGTAAATCAGAATCTCCAGGGCTCATGAAGCCCATAGGTCCCACACGGTACCCAAGTGTCACTACAATAACATTCCCTCTGTCTGCTATCTCCTTCCCATAGTACATGTAGTTATCCAGGTAGTAAGGCCCCATGGAGCCTCCAATCATGAAGCCTCCTCCGTAGATCCAAACCATGACAGGGAGACCAGAAGATACTAGAGGGATGAAGACAGTTAGCACTGGTCTAAGTTAATATATAAACATTTTTGGCTTCTGTCTTTGCCTGAGCTGCCATGAGGAACCCAAATGTTAAGGTACAGACAGTCCTCACTGCCTACGTAGCAATTCTGGAAAAAGTTCAGCTGAAGGCACTCGTCTCTGTACTGTGTGGCCTTTAGAACACCTGACCAGAAACACACATTAAAAGAGTAGTGTGTTATCATTTAAGATTAGCATGAAGCATCAAGTATGTTATTATTAAATATTTCTTCACACAGAGCTGGCCTTAGCGAATGCTTATTTCGCTTTGCAAGCAGAAGATGAAACATATTTAAAAGGAAATGAGCAGAAAAAGCTTCTGTGAGTTTCAAACATAATTGCTAAAGATGTCAAATCTAGTGAAAAATGCTGTCCACCCACCTCCCCATCCAGGGTGACGCTTTGGTTTCTCAAACCTTCCAGGAATGTCAGCAAAGGGAATTCCCTTGAAGATGTCCATGGAACGGGATAATCCAAGACTAATTGTTTCACCCTCAACCATCCCTCCCTCAGTTTGCGCCACACCAAGCTACAGAGATTAAGGCAATAAATGGACTAAATATGTGAGCCAGAAGATGGATGTTTGGGTTTTTTACCACAATGATTAAATTGAGCACAATATGTTTCAATTTGAACACTTAATGTAACAAAATTACACATTTTGTAATCACGCAGTCACAGCTGAATTATCAGTGCACAACCGAACTTGAAACATATTCTGCACAGTGAAACCTTTAGAGATATCCAAAAGAAAGTCTGTAAACATGAAAAATATGTTGAATATTAACAATTATGTGATACTTACAGAGGCTGCAGAGGCCCTCTCCAGAAAAACAGCAACGGCAAACAAAATCCCCAGCTTCAGCATCATGACCAAGCTGTCAGAATTACCCTGATTGTCAGCCAGACTTTTATAAAGGAACCAACATTGCACAACATCTGACCAACGCGGAGTCCGTGGCCCCTGGTTTTCTCACTGTTGAATAATATTTAACCAATATTTAACCACCTTGTATACACTACATCTTCCCCCAAACTTCCCCACATTTAACTAGAAAACCAAAATCGACGAGAAAAAAAATGGTTAATGGTAGTTATCATGAGACATCTCTTTTAATGTCTGCTCTAGTAAGTAGATAAGCTATTTATAATTATTTATAAATAAAATAAATACAAATGATAAACAAGGAGCACAAATACTTTTATTCTCAGTCAACAGAGAAACTAATTCCGATACATACTAATGAAAATTAGCTGGAGTTAACTGGTGTTATTAAAATCTTTCTTGGGGGAAAAAAGAAAAATAGTCTTTTTTTATTTTATGTTCTGCACTTCTTCTATTTAACTTGCAGGTTTTCTCTACATCTAAAGAATATCTGGAGGACAATATATATGTTTTTCCTTACTTATCCTCTGATACTCAGACTGTGTCTTGCCTTAACCTTTAACCCCTAACCACTTGGCTTGGAAAGGAAAAGTGGGCAGGAGAATTGCAAAGGAAAAGACAAGGCGTATGCTGAGAATCAGAACAGCCTTACACTAGTATCTCCTTAACAGGGTGAAAACTATACAGAAGATAGACTACAAAACATACATGTGACTTCACCATAACGTGTTCAACCCCCCCTTTTTTCAGTGTTGGTCATATAAACAAGAACAGCCAAATATTCCTTAATTTCAAAGGTTAAAATTTTAAAAAAAGAAGGAACATTCAGGGCCACATGAACTGACAGCAGCAGCACCACAAAACCAGCTTTTGACATTGGAAAGCTGCTGGATTTACTAGAACGCCAGTGTCAGTTTTGTTACTGAAAGTTGTGAACAGAGATATTTTGGTGGCTGGTCTCATGCATATGTATTTGTAAGAGTTTCACTTTCAGGACAAGAATTAGCGTGATTGTGATATTTGCTGCTAAAAGAGTTTATTTCTAGGAGCGGGAGATGAAGTCATCAGGACCAGGTCCTAAACGGCACTTTGCTTGGATGGCTCAAAGCCGCGAGCGCGGTGCCAAAACTTTCGCCCTATCCTATAACTCTTCACTTATTCCTCAGGCTGAGTGTCTAGACACGAGCCCCACTTACTCTCCGTCAGAAACACTGGGAGTTTCACTGGGACAAAAATGAACTGAATTGAGCTTCTTTTCTTGGCATTGCGCACCCAGCAAGCTGCTTCTCTCTGCTGAATCTGTAACAAATAGGAGTGTCTGCCTTCTCACATTTATCTGAATTGCCAGCAGAAGTGTCAGCAGTGTCTTTGACTACAGCCTAAGAGAAACTGCTTTTTGGAGCTCCTCTATTTACCCAAAATGCCTGAACATATTTAGAAAAAAAAAGAGATCCAGTACAACAGTACAAGTACAGGACCAAAGTTCATGTTGTTGTTCAGTGTTTTGCAATTCATAGTTCAAATTGAACACTCTAAATATTTTATTCATGTACATTCTGAGTGCCTTATTCAGTAAAAACAAACAAACAAACAAACAAAAAAACTTAAAACAGGAGACTGGAACAATGTTGTTTGGTTTGAATCTCAATTTCTTAATTTCGGGCCTTACAGTCGAAAATTCACCAGCAACTGCGTGATGCTATCATGTCAATTTGTAGTCGTTTGTTGCAAATTTTAAGTAATTACCTGTTTGTTAGTTACTTTGCTATCTTTTTTTTTTTTTAATTTAATACGCCTAAAGGAGGAAGACCACAACAGCAGGACATGGCATCCGGCGATTTTTAATGTTGGTTATGAATGTTATTTGGTCAGAAAAACTGAACCTTTATTTGTGTCCATGGTGAACTCCAGTTATACTGTAACTAACAAAAATGTCAATTTAAACGCAAACACAAACGGTTTCTCTACATTAACAACAAAGGGAACACAACTGTTACAAACCTTTCAAAAGAACATAATTTCTTTATTTACACGGTCACATTTTTAAAGAAACTGATGATACAACATATTAACAGTCAAATTTATGTCAATACGTGGTTTTATTGTGTTAGATGTAATCTAAAATTTCGGTCTCCATCTCATTTTCACTTCCTTCAGATGGCTGAAATTCATCTTCCTCATCCTCCTCTTCATCCTCCCTATTCTCATACTCCCCTACTTCATCTTCCTCCTCTTCTGCATAAACATCTTTTACGCTTTGGCCTTTACGTCTTCGTCTTTTGGGTAATTCCGGCAAAACTGAAGGACAAACAGAAAAATCAGGTAAAAGAACAAAAAGCCAAAACCAAAAATAAAAAGTAAAAAGTGGGTGCCAGGTGGTCTTGTTCAGGACTCAATTACTTCAAATACTGAAAATAGTCACTGTTAAGTTTTGTCTATGAGTTTTGGTTTGTCATGATAATCCATAATCAGTGCTTCAAAATGTTAGTGCACAAACAAACAGGTTTATTTTTAGGGTAGCATGTCAGCATTTTTCTATTAGAACAACGCAGGGCATCAATGTTTCTGCAGGAATTCTGACTTCAATCATGGAACCAAAAACATAAGAAGTTGACCTACTATCAAAGAAAACGTTAATGGATAACAAAATCAATTTTGCTCAAAACATGGATGTTCTTTTTTAAAGATTTATTGTTGGCATTTTGCAGATATTGGATAGTGACAGAAAGAGAACGGTGCCCAGCAAAGGTGCCTGGGCTGCAATCTCAGTTGGACCACCGGTTGACTAACGTTAATATCTGAACATAGTTCAGTCCATCCATATGGAACGCCAGGACTGCCATAAATAATTAATTAAATGTGTCAATAAATAATTAATTAAATGTGTCAATAATTAATTAAAATGGGAAATA